GCTGTTAAATGTATGACTGATACTAATTTCAATTTCGTTTTTCTTATCAACTAATGTCTATATCATTAATTTAAATAAAGCAAACGAGTAAGCTATAATTGATGCATACCTAATATTTCTTATATGAAAAATATGATCTTATGAAACTATAGCTTAAATAATGTTAGTTACGTGAGCGATTACTGGACAAAAATAGTTCCGAAGAATATCACAATCAGACCACGAGTCACCTGGCCAAATAGGTTTATCTATGTTTTTGAGTTCCATCATATTTAACATAGTGTATATGAAAAATAAAGAGATGTGTAATGGTTCTACAATCGACGACGGTAACAATTATTTAGTAATTCTAAACTGACTTATGGTGTTGACGTAATCTTATATTGAATTTTCAAAAATCTATGTCGCCATATTCAATATCATAAGTCGAGATTTATAGGCACATTCACATAATGATGCTTTTCCCTCCGAAATTACATCAGAATCTTAGGAATTTAAGCTTTGTTTGCAAATCGCCTGAATTATCCTACCTACGTGACAAGACTTTGCGACTTCGTTCAACGCAACTCTGTACGTATGACACAGTATCAGCGTATCGCCTCATAGCACAAATAATTTTTGTATAAACATCTACCAACAGATCATTAGGTATATGTTGCTTACCAGCAGAAAGAACAAAATATTAGTGTTATTACTTATTTTACAATTTTTAGGCGAAAAATATTAACGCATCCACATATGATATTTCTTTATATGCAAGAGTAATATACCCACACTAGATATCTATTTACTATAAGAAAGTTAATCAACAAAAGATCTAGCTCTGTGAAATGAAATTCAAAACACTTAATTAAATTGATAACAAATTTTAATTATATCATCAACATCAACTTAAAGGCACAATCTTTAAGATTGACTCAACAATAGGTAGGCGCACCTATCTATTTCTGTTATCACCTACCTATGTAGTAATAGAAGTCACTGCTTATGTTTCACATAATCTCTTATATTTATATATAAGAGATCTTTATTAAATATTGATTGGGTTTATACCCAATCAATATTTAATAGACTGACTAGTACTTATTTACTATTAAACTGGACAATTACCAGTCTTTATTTAACTCAGTTGCCAGACACTGGATAAATTTGTAACATCTGGCTTTTTTATTTATGATGTAGTTTGTATATACTCTATACGTAATTTACAGGCCAATATCGAGATACATCAAGTTCCAATATTTATGACAAAACAACCTTAGTTCATGTGTTCAACAAAATTCAATTAAATATTTTTCCCATATATTGCAACACTGTTTTCGACAAAAATTTAACAGATATAGTGAACACATTGTTTCATATAAAACATATCATAATCATTTTTCTAATAAAGTATTGGGCATAAACTACGGGAAGAATATTTTAAAAGATTTAGCTCACGCCAAACTAGTTAATTGGGGGTCGCGACTAGTTTCGCCTATGGGAGACGCCTACCTATGTCAAATGGGTGAAGCGACATTCCGCGTCGGTGTCAGGCGCCGACACTTAAGTAAAACTGTACCCATATCCTATATTAAAGAGAATACCACTCACGTGTGCTCACCTGTTCACATTACTAATAACATAATTTATATTTTAATTAAATTATAATGTTTTAATAACTCTTTCAAGTATTAAATATGTATTTTTTTTTAGAATGAAATCCTCCAGGTAGCATCTTCATAGGGTATACCTGGTTCCCCGGCTATTAGTACCCGAGACGGCGTGCGGTTTTAGTCGGTTCGAGTCCGACATGCCACCGACAGGTGGTATCCGAGGGGATATCCGCACGGTAGCATCTTCACTACATGTGAAAAATATAGTAGGTAGTAGGTCTTCGTCTTATGCCCAATTTACAATAAAACCAGCCAGAAAGTAATAATTAACAATTTTGCAAGAACTCTTGATAAGCACAAATTAACATTCCAGTGATAAAATAATTGAACAAATACAAATGTCAAACCTTATCATAGAACTAACAATAAAGACTGTAGCTTGAGGTGCATCTTGAGTAAATTCTTGTTTCTTCAGTCCTCATCACCTGAAATTAATAATGACAATGAGAGTGCCATGCTTCGATTCACATGGACCGGCTTAACCGGAGAAATACGATGGCCTGAGGGTACACTGGTGTTTAAGGAACTATCGTTGATTTTCGAGTAAGTGAGGTTACCCAAGATACTAATTCCAGTGGGAGGGAGGGAAAATTTATCTTAATTTTCAACTTTTTTTATTTTTTGGTATTATTCCTTTATTTGTGCTGTAAGACGTTTCTTTTTGCCCAATTTCGTGATTCTAGGTCAAGGGGAACTACCATGTAGGTTTTCGACCCAAAATCTATAGGGTACTGCCGGTTGACCTAGAATTGTCAATTTTGGTTAAAAGCAAGGTCTTACAGCACAAGTAAAGAGAAAATTCAGAAATATAAAAAAAAGTTGAAAATTAGGGTAAATTTTGGTACTTACAAGTTTTCGCGAAAATCGAAATTTGCCCATATCTATATATCGTGTTGACTCAGGACCTTGATTTTTATACAACTTATAGAGACCATAGACCTACGTGTCTGGTATAAATTTCAACTTGCTAGGTTCCTGGGTCTACCCGTTCCTGAGAAAATTGGTGGTTACACACAGACAGACGGACAAGAGAGTGATCTTATAAGGGTTCCTTTTTTACCTTTTGAGGTTCGGAACCCTAAAAAGCAATTGTTTGCATACAATACTACAATAATACACGTGCACCGTTTACGTTGCAGCCCGGCCACGTGTATAATATAGGTAGAATGCTCAGAATGTTCTAAAATATAAACGGAACAAATGTTTCTTTTGTGTTCTTTATTTTTTAGAGAAACACTCACACAAGCACCTTAACTACCAACATAGCAAGGTAAGTATGTAAGCAATGAAATGACAAGGAAGAGGCGAAGGCGCTTAGTGCAAATTCTTATTTGAAATCATTTTCTGTTAATGTAACGTCTCTTGGTAAATTTTAAATTTTATATTTCAGAACATTCTGAGCATCCTACCTATATTATACACGTGGCCGGGCTGCAAACTATAATATGGTGCTTCCCGGCCACAAACAATTGCTATTTTTACAAGCTATATATAATCTATTGATAAGTACAGCAAGAGCAATAAAAGAAAATTTAATTTATACATCTGTAAATTATGAAATCGACTATGGCCGACTGCGCCGTAACACACGTTCTAGCCATACTAGTCAATGAAATAAAACAAGATATTCAAAACGGTTTCAATAGGAGGACCAGGCAACCTCTAGGAATGTTTAATTTGTATTAACAAAAGCATTTAATATACATAGGTAGTGACAATGATTAACATTAAGAGTAAGCAATTTAAATTAAGAAGTGTACAAATATGTACTTAATATTGAATACAATAACTTAATAAAGTTAAAGGACAATACTAAATTAATTTACTGGTGCTTAGAAAATAAATTAATTACCATATAATACTGGGTCTACCAATAGGGATGACCTGGTTTCGACAGCTCATAGCGGCCATGTTTGATGATGGATCTTTGACGTCTCTTGACATTTGTGTTCAGTAAGGTTTGCCATTTTATCATGTCACGTTTCACTTTAAACCAACGCTTGGAAATTGTCCAAAATTATTACGCAAATTCGCGTTCTCCTACCGCTACAGTAAGAGCGCTTCGCGCAAAAAACGGTCGTCATAGTGCTCCTTCTGTGCGCGCTATAAATCGCATAATAACAAAATTTGAAAGTGAATTCACTCTCCACGATACTGCTGTGCCTGTGAGACAAAGAAATGCCCGTAGTGAAGAGAATATCGCAGCCGTTCAGGCCAGTGTTGATGCGAATTCAAATCGATCAGTTCAACGCCGTTCACAAGAGTTGGGGCTCTCTCCAATGACCACCTGGCGTATTTTGCGGTTGGATTTGGGTCTACACCCATACAAAATTGTTTTGGCACAAGAATTGAAGCCATCTGACCATTGTATCCGTCGTGAATTTGCCGATTATGCACTGAAAATGATGGAAGCCGATGTCAATTTTCATCGTAAAATTATCTTCTCAGATGAGGCCCATTTCTGGCTCAATGGATTTCATAATAAACAAAATTGTCGCTATTGGAGTGAGTCAAATCCACGTGTGGTTCATGAATCACCATTGCATCCGCAAAAAAAAACAGTTTGGTGCGGTGGAATCATTGGTCCGTACTTCTTTGAAAGTGACGAAGGAAACCCTGTTACTGTGAATGGCGAGCGCTATAACTCGATGTTAACAGAATGTTTCTTTATGGAATTTAATGATATTCATGCAGACGACCTTTATTTTCAACAAGACGTTGCACACATTACGCGAGTAGACATGGAATTATTGCGTGGAAAGTTTGGTGAGTCGTTAATTTCGAGAAATGGACCGATCAGTTGGCCACCAAGATCGTGATTTAACACCTTCAGACTATTTTCTTTGGGGGTACATTAAATCTAAAGTGTACAGCAATAATCCAGCTACAATTCGTGACCTAAAAACCAACACTCGACGAGCCATAGCTGACATACCGGCCGAAATGGGGTGACCGTCTGCAAAAAGAGCCGCGGCGGTCATTTGGTCGATATATTATTTAAAACATAAATTGCATAAAATTATCTATCAAATAAATCAACCGGATGCATTTTTCATAAAAATTGTGTGTTTAATTCAATTTTTAAAACAGGACGTTCTTATTGGTAGACCCCATATATATATAAATATACTGCTATAATTATAATGTCATACTTTTGCATTTAATGTATAAAACAATTCAACTTTATCATTATTCTTTAAAAGAACACTCAGGGTTTATTTAATAATTACCTAAGCACCTCCTACATATTGCATATTTTTACAAGACATAAAACTTTGTAATCAATAGTGTTCTGATAAACAATTGTATAAATTTAGATACATACCTGTGAATTTTTAGAAGTTATCATGAAATTATGACTTTGATTTTCCTTTCTATACTACTTCTGCACATTGGACAACCATCCATTTCTTTTTCCGAACATGGATAACAACAGCACATGTGCCCACAAGGCACAAATACGACTTCACTTTTAGCATCCATACAAATTACACATTCTGCTTCTGTAACTAAGTCAGTTGTATCACTTGTAGTCACTACCCCCGTACAGATCTGTTCCTCGAGTAACTCAGTAGGGGCACTTGCTTCGATGGATGGAGATGCCTCAAAGTTGTGATTCTTACTTTTTGAGCCTACATAAGAATTGACTGCTCTAATAATGGCTTCCCTATCAGATGACAGGGACACACCATTGGATTTTAGTTGTTCCATAGTAATATTTAATAAAGGTTCACCAGAAAACAAGAACTTAACTAAAAATGGCAAACAATGAATAACACCTTCCTGCAGGAGATAATTTGCTAATGCAGGATCTAAACACTTTCCTATATTTAGTAAGTCTTTAGGTGCTGACTCTGCCAGTTTTTGATAATTTTTCAACCAAAAATCATTAGATTTATTAGATTCACTTTGCTCCATTTCTTTAAGGGTATTCACTAGTTGTTTCTTCCGTTTGTTACGTTGTTCAAAGAGGTCATCCAATAGTGTAATTAGGTGAACTCTTTGGTGAAGCAACTCATTATTGTTATAAGTAATCTGTAGTCTTTTCTTTTCTTGTTCTATGACACTAAGTCTGGCTAAATGTGAAGATATTAATGAAATCTCTTGATTGAGACTCCAACTTTTTGCATCTACTTTTTCCATTAATGAGCCTACCATTGCCATTTGTACACTCTGGTCTTCTAGAAGTTGCTCTATAAGCAATGAGCGTGATTGGTCTTTAGCATTCAATAGGTCCGCAACCTTTTCACTAACATGTAAGTCTTGTAATATTATACTCTGTTTTATATTATTTAATGAGTCATCATAGTATTTCTTGGAATGTTTTATGACATAATCTTCCTCTATTAATGTTTCCATTGCTCGTAATATATCAGCCTTTTTAACATTATCATAATTTTGTCTCACAATTTCAAGTAATCTGTCATGTTCAGTCTGCTCATATGCAAGCTGCTGCTGTATCACCTCCGGCATCAAATTATCAGACTGAATAAAGTTTTTAACTAAGCATTCTATTTCTTGTTCATCATCTTGTATAGCCTTGATGAGCCTTTGTCTATCTATTTCTTTTACCATTTGAACTTTTGCTATCTCATTATCGAGTTCAATCTGTTCTTGTAAAACTGTATTCAAAAACTTCTCGCGTTGTTCTTTAGCTGCTCTATGCAATCTATTCTCTTGCTCTATAATAGCAGCTTCCTGCTCTTCCCATGTAAATGTTTTATGTCTTGCAAATGGATCTATAACTGAGTTTGGACTTTGAACTTCTGAATCACTATTTGTAGATGCAGGTGGTCTATACTCAACATTCATTTTATTACATAAATATTTCATAATTTCCATAGTACTCTGTACTGCAACTTCTTGTGGAGGGAATGTAAAATTTTCACCATTAATCTCAAGTAATGTGAGACTAGAGGCAAAACACAGTTCTGGACAAAGTTCAGTTAAATCTGAATTATTAGTTAAGTTCAGTTTTCTTAGAAAATTCAACTTACCCAATGATGGTGTTAAATTTCTAAGCTTATTAATTGATACATCTAGTACCTGTATTGACTGTAAAAATTGAATGTTGTCAGGTAATCTTTTAATATGATTATTTTGAAGATATAGCTCAGTCAAATTAACCAAATACCTGATATCATTGGGCAATTGTGTAAATCTGTTACAACTTAAATTTAGAACCTTGATGAGATACAAGTCCGACAACTGCCCTCCCTCTTCTAATGAATGTAAACTGTTATTATGCAAATACAAATTATCTTTTCTGTAGACTTTACAAATTGAAAAGGTACCAGACGGTACATGACGCAGTTGACATTCGGATAAGTCGAAATCTGGCTCTGGGGACTCTTTAGCAATATATAGTTTCCTCTCTAACATAGTACGTCCATCTGTGCTATTATCCAAAATATTATTGGATTTCCCAAACAACGACATAGTCGCTTGGTTGACGCACGACACAGCACAGCCCATTAAACAAATATATTTTATAATAAATCGCGCACTTGCCTACGTCACCTTTCCTTAATATACATTGCAATTGAATTGTTGTAAGGCTTTAAGAAGGTAAATTATCTATTCAATATATCAATTGATTAGATTACATTGCTTGAATTATAAAAAACATTGATAACACTACATTAACAATTTGACAGCTTTTAGCAATAACAAAAGTGACATTACTGCCATTCGGTGTTGCTGTAACAAAGAACTGTGCAAAGAACAGAATAGGCAGTAGTAAGGCGGCCCATGATGCTAAATGGGGCTTTAATCGAGCTTCACGGGGAGCTATTGCATTTTGAAAGATAAGGTAATAGAATGAATAAAAGTTTTAAAATGTTTCCACTTTCAACAAGTTCTTCGTTCTACAAGTTTTTAAAAATGTAAGGGGGAAAAAAAATCGGGCGCATCAGATATTTTTGGATATTATGTTATTTGGACGCCAAAAAATGCTCCCATTGAAAAGTGACACTGCTGTGAAGTTGGTAGCGAATTATCGAAAAGCAAACTGCGAATTCGAAAAGGCGCCATGTTTATCATTTATTATCGATTTTATAAATACGGTTTAGCTTGAGATTCCTGTCATACTAGCCAAAATTCTGACGATAGTTTTGCAGGGTATTTTAAATCTGGCGGTTTGAAATATTTTGATGTTTTATAAAACGTGACAAATGAAGGCACCTAAAAATTTGTGGACATTTAAAAAAGATTTTTTACATTGTTTGCTTAAAAAAAAAAAAATGTCAAGGTCATGTGTTTCTTTTTTAAACTTTGTGACCCTCCCACTGCTATGCTCTTATGTTACGCTAAAGTCGTCTCATTTTTTAAATACACACTAATATGCATGTAATTGATTCAACTTACCTTAATCTTACACGCTCGAGTATCTTAGGCCATCGTTTTTTTTTTACTAATCTGATGGGCTGCCCTAGATGATCCCCCCTATATATAGGGCTCATATATGTAGTAAGAAGTACTCAACTGGGTGTAAAGTATTCCTCCTACGTTAATCTGAGACGCTCGAGTAAATCCCGAAATCCCTTCTAGGGCTTCCTTGCTACAAGTAGCTCGGTAGCTCCACAAAATCAAAACCAAAATTGTTGAAAAGGATAGAATAGTTTTTTAGTTCAAGAACCAAGAACAACTTTTTCAACTCACAATATTGTTATAACTTCAAAAACCTTACAGAAAGAATTAACGGACAGGTCTACGTCAGATTTTATAAATAATAAAAAGGTGTGGACTAAGCACCGATTAGTACTAAAAGAAAAAGGATTGTCCACAGTACCTATCTATGTGACTAATTTGGAAGGAAATTATAGGAGAGGAACTAAAACAAGCGTACTAAGAACGTTTCAGAGAGAAACTTACAAGAATGAAAGTTATGAAGGAATGAATGAGACTCATTGTTAGAGTGTTTGTGTCATCAAATCTTCAACTGACTACATTTCTTCCATACACGGGGATAGTTAGATCCAGAAGACTTGAATTAATCCGTCATCTACATGAATATAGCTAAAGGCGAGATAAAGTCAATTTAATAAATAATTATTTTAGAGGGAGTTTAGAGCAATTGACCTTTTACGAGATCGGACCTCTGTACTCGCTCTTTTTGTTCAATGAAAATGTTGTTTCTCTCGAGTCTTAATCGTCGTATTTCTTTAGAATAATGGGTGCTTATGACTTGCCAAATGGTCTTTGTACTTTGATGAATCACCATCATCTAGAAAGGTTTGTGTTCATCATTTTCTAAGTTGTGACTAAACCATGGCGCTCAGTTAATTGCAGGAATAAGTTGGTGGTTGGAAAGAAGAGGTGGTATTTTTTTAAATAATGAGGCTAATTTGAATCCAATGGTAGTGAAAATTAGTCAGAAATGGCATTGGAAACTCTTTATTAAAAGAAGAGATCAGCAGATTTGATAGTAGTGTAAGATATTAAAATGAGGAAGTAGTCACTATTAATGGAGTTCGAAAGGGCAGTCTAGACTACTATAGGCTATAGGCAAGAGAATATAGTGTAGATCAGGTACACTAATATTCACAGAATGTAGAAACCCAAACTGTAGATCAATAATTTAAAATACACTAAGCTTCATCATCATCATCATCATCATCAGCCTATCGCAGTCCACTACTGGACATAGGCCTCTCCCATTTTCCGCCACTTAGATCGATTTTAGGCTACAAATAAACTAAACTTCAATAATCCAAAAAGCCAAGAAACAAAAGAGGCGTAAACCAAGGCAAATGAAACAAGCAAACGATTATTTCGGGAGTGGCTCGTAACTCGTGATACAAATAAACTGCTAATACATCAGATTTATATTGAGTGGTCAAATAGAAGATATCTTGGATATAATAATAATAAGTGTAATAATAACTTCACACATCATCGTGATGTCACGTTGGATACTTCCACGTTCCCTTGGAGCGTCTCTGGTTCATTTGTAGCACTATTTTTATTTAGATACGAAAGTAAATATTTAACAAGGGTTGCAAAATCTTAAATTTTTATTGTCAGAAAAAATAGGAGTGATTACAGAGTTGTCACTGGGACTTGATATAAGTAACCAGCCTCATGAATAACATATGACTTAGGTACTTATATTTTTTCTAGATTTCCATATGAAACTGATACAGACATATGGCATATGGGAAAGGAAACTGGTTATATAATCGTATACATATCGTTGGGATATAATATCGTTTTAAGCAATCAAACAGTTAGGTACATTGTAGGTAATGATGGAAAGCAATGTCTTTATTGCAAAATGAATGTTTCTTTATTTTATTTTAAGTCTTTATGCATCAGTATAAGTTGTACAATGGCGGACTTGATTCCACAGGCATTTTCTCAATCCAAGCCAATCTTAGGGTGGTGCTGAAATGTGTGACTAGGTGCACTAGACAATGATATGTAAATGAAAATTATTCAGAAGTTAGACAGAAACAGTGCGATAAATAAACATCCGTACGTACCAAATATATACACATACAAAAATACTTACTTAGTTACATACATACATAAACCTACATACTATCGCCTGGTCGAAGCTCTGCGCCTGCTTAGAAATACCCTTTTTGTCATATCTTAGATTTAGTTTCGTGAAGAAAACTGTCTATCTCCGAGGTTCTTGTTTATCTCTATCTCAAAAATTTTCATAGTACGTGCAAATGTATTAGGTACAACTAATTACACATTTTGACCTCCATCCAGCCTTTTAAGGAAACTGCGCTTGTAAGTATAAGTAGATTGTATGCTAAATACTGATGTGACGAATAACTAAAAACGGGGCGCTTCTAATAGGTAGATCAATCTTTATTGAAATGAAGACATCTGTAATATTTAATGATATTTCTTTATTATCACCTATCCAAAAACTATAGCACTGACAAACAATAGGTAGCAAAATTATCTACTAAATTAAATAAAAAAACTAAATTTAATTTATCACAAATGACTAATTATTTTATCACTACACAACCTATTTCATACGTCCTCTTCATTGTACTGTTATTGTCTTATTCTAAATTCTAATAAAATGTTCTCACAACTTCGCCCTCGTTATTAAGATAACCTTTGAATAGATTTTTTTAATAATCCAAAAACCCTTCACGATTGTTTTCGGTGCCACTACTTTTGTATGGTGGAAATGGACGAATTATTACTTGATTATTTTTTTATCCCTCTTCCTCTTCTGGATATCTCTCATAAGATTGATCTCCATATTTGTCTTCAAAATTGTATTTAGTATCACTATCTTCATATGGTGTAAAAGAACGAAGCCATCCGTCTTGATTACCAGGTGTTTTTTTTTCATCTTGTATTTTTGACGATCCTTTTTCATTCTCTTTTTCTTCTGGATATCTCTTATATGAAAGATGTTCATATTTGTCTTCATATTTAGGCATAGGCATAGGCGTTGAAACAAGCATCTTTTTACTATAATTTTCTACAGGTCTTATTTTATAATAACTATTTGTACTAATTATTGGCCTATATTCTTGATATGCTTTTGTGTCGGGCTCTGCCGTTTCTCTCTCCCACAAAGGATTTCTGATGTATTCTAAAGTGGAATAGCCATTTTCTTTTTCTACGTCCTCCATGCTTTTAAGTTTTTGGTAGCGATCATTTAGTCTGTAAATAGTTAAATCTGGAGTTTGAGACGGGTATACATGAGATTTAATTATCTTCGCAATCTGTCAAATGCTTTTATCAATTCCGGGTTTTCTTCAACATCTTGAGTTTCATGTAATGATTCCGTTGGTGAATTCGCTTTGTTAAGTACTTTACTAGGTTTTCCGACATTCGCTTGATTTATATCTGGCATCGCGAACTGAATCTGTTCATTGAATTCTTTTTTACGCAAATCATTTAACGTTGGATCATAACTTATATCATCTTTGTATTCTTGTGCAATTATTGGTTCAGGTGTCCTATACGAATACGCTATTTTCTTACCATTATGAAAGTCTTCATTTTCTACCGATGACGGGATTTGTGGCCGTTTACTAAAATAATCAAATACATGAGAATTTGGCACATCAACTAATTTATAAGTTTCGGCTTCTGGTGATAGTTTGAAAACCACAGCTGTACCTTTGTGGTATCCTAAACCGTGACCATCAAATGGTTTATTCTTAGTGCTCTTCTTTTTACTTTTTTGAGGAGAATCACCAATAGATTGTACATTGTCCGAATCAGCATCACAATACATTTTATTCAGTTTTTGAGTGTCTTTGTCAGACAATCCCAGTCTTTGTCCGATTTCAGCACCCATCTGAAAAAGTAAATGTAATGTAAAGTAGTGACGGCACCTAGACTAAAACTATGCAGAATGAGAAGAACAATAAAAAAAAATACATGCTACACACAGTAACCGTATAGTTTTAGTCTAGTCTTAACAGTATACTTTTAGTCTATGATTATTTTATTACCAAAAAATAACAACAATACGAGAAAGTTTACTTGATAGGTATCTGATATATGTAATTCTGAAAACCGTGAGAAAATGTATTTCCTACTCAGTTTGATAACAAAATATATGAAAAAAGACAAGTCGATACTTTAAAAGGATAAAAAAATGATATTTAATATAAAATATGCCGTTAAATGAAATCTTGTATTACCTGTTTTGGCACAATCGTGGCCTTGCCATTGATGGAGAAAGCATTTCGGCTATAATGCAAGACACTATCGTAATCGTACCCTACGCCGAAATCTGTTACAGTGAATGTATTGTATTTTCGAAAATTGTGCCTCGATGCTGGAACCAAACAAATAAAACAATTAGCCAAATCATGTTAAAGTTCAAAGATAGATTTCATTTAAAGAAAACTGTAATATGACTTGTACTTAAACACAAAGACACATAACTTTCAATAGAAATCGACATTTTACTTCACACCGAACGTTTATTGCCTAGATAGGTGATGGGCTAATTTATATTCGCATTGTGTAGCGCTCACGTGAGGTGACAGTCGCTGACATTAGTCTGTTGCTTCGTAAAAAAATATATGATAAATAAAAAATAGAGAAAGCTTACATTTTAAAATGTTATCCCATACAATATCGACATAATCATCTCTGTCGGGGCTACTCTGCATGTGGTAAAATCCGAGGGAATGAAGAAGTTCATGTACGACGGTACCATGTCGAAAGCAGCCGCGTCCGACTGGGTGACGACTGTTTAAATTCAAAGCCTGGAATCCACCTTGATAGCCAACTTGAGAGAAACAGCCCCTTCGATTACCCTAGAATTTTAGAAAACATGACAATATTTTTAAATATTACGAACGCTTTAAAACCTCGTCCACATTTTGATATTGGAATGTTAAACAGTTAGGTATTTAACAGAATTTTAATGTTATGTTCTTATTGTACGAAATCGAAAGCGTACATCTACCTACATATTGAATCCACTATCATTATCACACAGTAAATGATTTAATTTTTATTCTTTATGTACCTGTTTAGTTTAGTTATACGAATAGGTAACGATTAGCAGCACCTTAATAGTAAGTCATCGTCAGTCGACAAGTCAAACTACCCAATGGGAGTGGCTAATTTGCGCATTTGCAATATAAGTGTCTGTCAGCTGCACTCAGATTGTAATCTATACTAATATTATAAAGCTACAGAGTTTGTTTGTTTGTTTGAACGCGCTAATCTCAGGAACTACTGGTCCGATTTGAAAAATTCTTTCAGTGTTAGATAGCCCATTTATCGAGGAAGGCTATAGGCTATATATCATCACGCTAAGACCAATAGGAGCGGAGCACCAATGAAGAATGTTTCAAAAACGGAGAAAATTTATTACTATTGAGAGACGCAGACGAAGTTGCGCGGGTCAGCTAGTGCATGATATTTTGCGGGAAAACATCTATACTAGGCATTTTATTTTCTTGTAAGAATTAGAATCTTTTAATCTCTTTATCTCTTATCTCGTTTAACAATACTTGCTAGCTGAAAATAACTTTCTAAAAATCCTTCCTTTTACCACCCAACCAATTCTTTAGTGCCATGCCAACCCTGTTGTGAGTTAATGCAAAGGTATAAGAGTCACATAATATAATTTTTGCGGGAAATACGCTGGACTATTATTATAAATTTAAGAAATTCTTTATAATAAAACAGACCTGTATGACAACTGCATCACGATCGCCATGTCTGTACCGACGGAACTTGACGCATGATGCACGTGCTAAATCATCTATTCCATCCAGAATAGCTTGCACTTGATCATTAGCTGAAATAGTTGTCATTAAGCAAATACATTTTTATTAAGGACAAACTAACTAATAATAACAAAAATGGAATTTAACTAATAATAATTTCAAATATAACGAAATTACTAATGACCAGCCACCACTTTTAATTGTATGCTTGAGTGTTTACGGCCACTTAATATCCTTGTCCAAGTGGCGTCTCCAATCACAGGACGGACATATGGTTATGCGATCCCAGCTTCAGTGAGATACTTCAGTCTCCTCTTTCCGCATCCGAGACTTGCAAAATCCTAGCTCCCTCACCCAATTCGTTTTCTTTACCCTAAGTTCTGCTTTCTTTGTCTTGCCTGAAAACGTCAACATTCCCAAGGCAGACAAATCTTTTAACAATTTCACACATAGCCGATCCCAAATAAAATTGGGAAAAGGGTTGGAATATGCTAAAGATTGTTTTTAAAATTAAGACTCGGATTACCCGATCACTACGGTTTTTTAAAACTAGATAACTTAATTTTGATCTTATTGTTTCATGCCGCTAATGTTGTGTTAAGGAATAAAAAATTTCTCTGACTGTGTTAAATTATATTATTTAAAGGTCAAATTCAGTAGCAGTGAGGTTTTTTTCGGAGTGATTTACAAAATTGAACACGGGCCTCCGTTGCAATTAGAATAATATATTTTTTATTTTAAACAATTGACTGATCAATTTTTCATAGCGATATTTTTAGGTTATATTTAAAAATTAAAATAAAGTTACCGGCCAAAATACTACATTAAGGTACCTACTAAAGTAATTCGTGCAAATACTTACAGAAATGTTCCACTTGAATGGCATAAATAACCTCGTTATTAGGCCACCTCTTGGCAGCATCTATAATTCCATTTCGTGCTAGTCCTTGCTCTGCTACATTTTGTACAATCAACCGTCGCTGACGCTCGTTTAATATGAGATCTCCTTCGAATTTGCCGCTTTCTTCCCATGCATTATCAGACACATGTTCATCTTCATCGTACTCGTCGAATTCATTGGTTCCTTCTAAAACACCGCGTTCGGGATATAAAAACTTTGTTAGCAAGTTCTTAGATGCCGTACTTTTTTTCAAAGTACTAAAACATTGAGAAATTTGTTTACAGAATCTATAGTGAAGCACTCAATTAGGTATTCACATCATATCAATCAAGCAATCACACTTCATCAAAGTAAACAGTCACATGAACCCTTTTATTTTGTGCGGAAATCCCCTCGGATACCACCTACCTGGTGGTGGCTTTGTCGGATTCAAACCGACTAAAAAACTGCACGCCGACGCGGTAACCAGTAGCTGGAGAACCAGGTGTACCCTAGAAAGGAAATCTCTGGTACCCCGACGTACCTCGGGCCATCTACGACCCCCTCCTGTGTGGGAACCCCCATGTTCCCTTTGTGCTTCCGAAACGCGTCTGGCCGCCACACTGGCCTGCTTCTGCTAGGGTGACAGATGTCCTCAAATATCACTCCCAGGCCTGCGCTTATGGAGGACGGAGGACGTTCTGCGACCTCGGGCGCCTGAGTCGTCTGCGATTCCTGGCCCGATTCCGAGCCTGGCGGGCCGAGAGAGTTCTAAACCTCGCCCGGTCCCGCTCCGCCATCTCCTTCGCAAGTCGTCCAACCACGTCGGGCATTATGCCAGTGTTTGGAGAGCCGTGTCCATGGTCCGGCCATCGCAATGGTGGCACTCAGACGTTGGCTCCTTGCGGATCAGACACAGGTGATCCCGAAGCAACCTTTCCCAGTGATCACCTGCGTTAGTCGGTATGAAAGGGACCCGTGACGTCCTCGAGCCAATCCTCCATAAGGGGTCTTACAGCCGCGATAATGCCGCAGCCGCATGCCCGAGTCACATGAACCCTGCCGCTAATTTGCGTATTTGTAGATTTCCTTATTGCCGTTTAACCCGTTTTAGTGCCGTACGCTACTGCGCTTTACGTCTTTCATCTCTGTCTATCCGAGGCCCAAGTGTAAATTTTTTTCACTTCTACTTCTACTCGATCGTCACGGTGACCGCGTTTGGCACTAGGTTTTGCCCGCACTGAAATCTCCACCAATGGCAACATCGACCGCTCGAGTTGATGTATAAAAAAACTTGCACTAGGCCCTCCGGTGTAAGATACTAAAACTCTAACGTTTAATTTGAGATAAAACTATTGTATAATCATATGTAGTTAATCAATTGACCGTCAACGCTGAGAAACTTAATTGTATTCAATTTAAGGATTGATTGTGAATAAAATTATTTAGTAGAAACTTGTGTTAAAAACAAAGCACAGGAAAAGTTACGTTATTATTGAATGTTTTCACTCCAACTCTTTTAAAAGCTTTACGGATTAATCTGGTCTTATAAGGATGGACTGATTTTAATTTAGTTTTAACAAGTAGATAATCTGTTCTGCCATTAAGATCATCACTTCTTTTCTAATATTTGAAGGTATTTTTAGCCGGTTTACAGTTTAGCTCCTAGCGTAATCATTTGTAAAAAAGATAATTGTAAACGAAACGAAACGAATAGATAATAAACATCTTAACATAGGATGTTTATTATCTATTCGTTTATAAATAGATACCAATAAATATACAATACTTATGATAATACGACAGTCGCATTTGACATAACATGAACAAGAAAAAATATATGCCTTACCTACTAAAAAAAAGTGTCAGTAAGTATATATACACTTACACAATATAAACAACTCTTTAATTCTGTAGAGATGTTTAGGATTAACATCTAGAGTTTATTTTACGTAAGTGCCACTACTTCTTTGCTTTCCTTCTCTGATACTTACGAAGATTGTGGCTGACCGCCCAGAATAAGGCGCGCTTCAAGCGCTCTCAGAGGGTGGTGGTAGAAATCTTCCGTGGGATTTTGGGGTGGAAATGAGGCTCGTTGGTCGTCCTGGCTGGAGGCTCCAAGTACTGGCTTTAGCAGCGTGGAGGCGCTCCAGCCGAACATAGCGGGCGCTCATTGCAGTCGGAGAGGGTTTCCGGCTACCAGCCGTTATACGCTCCATGGCAGCGACAGATGATTTGCAGCGGTCGCGTCCTTTTGCGAGGGCGTCGTATCTTGCGAAAAGCGGAGAGGGCTTGGAAGGAAGATCTCCACACGGTCCAATTTGCCGCTGACGGAGACGCATCTTCCAGCGCCTCATGCCATCCTGAGTGTAGTCTCAGGTAAACGGGTTTTCCCCTCCACTCGTCATGAAAGCCTACCGCGAGGAAGTGACGTCCTCGTGTGGCGGACGTGGCAGGGTTCAGAGCTGTCATCTACCCAAGTAGGACCGGTCTCGGTTGGCGTGAAATATCGTGCAGTGTTCCGCCGCGGGGGTCTGTGTTCGGGCCGCTCCAGTAGAACATTGGCTATACGATTGGGTGCTTTGCACTAACTTCTTGGATGTTGTTCCCATCACGTGCTACGCGAACGCGAACGTAAGTCGGCAGCTGGGCAAATGCCCCTGCACAAATCTGAGGCCTTGTTCTTACATTATCCTCGGAGGCACTCGCATCGACATCGAGCCCTCGATAATGTATCTGAGGTTCGTACTGGGTCAAGATCCTAGGACTTAAGAAATCGAGGACTAGAAATCCTCGTGTCGAAGACGCCTCTTCGAGCTGGTGCGACCTCGAATCTGGCGTCCCACAAGGCGGAATATTATCTCCTCTTTTATTTTCAATATTTATTAATCTCATCACACAACATCTTCAATGTGCGTATCACCTTTACGCTGATGATCTGCATCTGTTTTCACAGGCAAGGGTGGAGAACGTAGCGCAAGCCGTTAACAAGGTTATCGGGGACCTAGAATTCATAAATTCCTAGTCGATGAGATTCGGACTGTCGGTAAACCCAACCAAATGCCAGGCGATTATTGTAGGCAGCAAACAAATGATAAGCAGATTAAATACTGCTTTAAACTCATCGATCGTCTTCAAGCTCAGTCATACCTTTCAGCCCTGTAGTCAGGGACCTAGGTCTACTCATTGACTCAACTCTCGATTGGCGAGCTCAGGTTACTCATGTGAGTCAAAAAGTAACCCGAAACTTACGAACACTATATCGCCTCAAAAATTTCCTGCCTCCTATAACCTAAACTACTCTCATGCAGTCCTTAATCATTCCTTTGTCTGCCTTACGTTCCCAACTAAACTGGTTAAGCATTCGCCTGCGCCGCAATCAGCGAGCGTTTAAAACGTCCGTTTCTTGTCGTCTAATCACGACAGGAATCTTCGCTCTGCAAATAATTTGTTTCTCATATGCCCCTCTCACAATTTCGACTTCGTGAACTCTTCGTTCTTCGTTCAAGCAGTTCTACTCTGGAATGCGCTCCCGGTTGAAGTCAGGATGTGCACAAACCGTTCCGTATTTAAACTCATGTACACAACCTTCTTCTTAATGAGAAGGCAGAATCATCGAATCGATAGTTCAGCAACCAATTTTCCTGTCACCAAAAAAAGAAAGGCCCAGACGTCACTCGTTAAAAATAAAATCAAAAGTTATAATATGAAATTTTCAACAAAAATTTGGACCATCACACATTTATTAACGGCAACTAGCAGATATTGTTAATATAATATGGGCGATAGCGAGACGCAGTGGGCGCCGATGAGATGCTTGCCTAGGGCGCTCTTATTTCTAAATCCGCCTCTGGTAAGCACCCATGTATACAAGAATTTTCCAGTTACTACAATCTGAAGAGAAGAAATAATTGTTTAACCTGGCATCTACTGTATCTGCTCCAGACTATCACTATTTTTATTTTGTTTAATGTTAGAGCTATTAACACTATTAACTAGCGATTTTTACGTCACCATAAAAACTTTCTCCAGACAAGGATAAGACAAACTTAAATGCATGTATGTTTTTAGTGTTTGAAAATAACGAACGAATAAAATAGGTTTATTTAATCAATTAGACTTCTTTGTTTTAAAAAATAACAAGCAATCAATCAAGTAATAACTTAAAAGTTATTTTATCAAACCTACTTTTATGAAATTTCACTTCTTTTGAACAATTTTATTTTTTTTGTTTTGTTGGAACAATTTAAACTTCTTTAAATTGTTTCAACAAATGTTTCAATAACAGTTTGTCTTGCGAAAGATTTTTCTTAATTTAAATTAATTATACGAAAACTTTAGGAAGTGGAGAAACGAATTTTTGCAATAAAACACGTAATCGTCTCATCAGTTTTAGAACAAAAATTATTTATAAAGATGAGAAAGGAAGAAAGAAGTATTTCTCACTTCTCTAAATATTAAAGAACCTCGTTAAAAAATCTAATTCTTTGATAGCTTCTACACAGTTTTTAATTTGTAATAGATAGGTATGGTAATAGGTATTCGATGACTTAAGTGGGTTTCTATTTCACACCGTAAAGTTTTTAGCAACTTGTTTTTCGGCTTCTGATATGAACTTTTATGAATACAAAGTGTACCTAAATAATTTAAATATTAAACTTTGAAAAACCAATTATATCCGTTATGTGAATTACTTACGCTTTAACGATGGCGTCAACTGTGATGTCCTTGTGAGATATTCCGCAAAATCATCCAACTCACTGAACGACATCGCAAAACACTTAACCGCACAAAGGATTAAAACGACCGCTAACTTTATCCGCCTCATCGTAATTTGTTAACCTTTAACTGCTTCTTACTAAAGGTTACGCATATATAAATGTTTTTGACAACTTGGTCCTCAACTAACACGGATTTTTGGAACAAAGTAGGTCATATTAACTGTATAGTATTTTTTTTAACATTTTTAGATTTTTCAGTCCAATACAGCACGATTTTTTGTGTGTGATAAAAGCCACCGGGGTGGGGCAAAGTTTAATATAGCTTCGGATACGACCATTTCACAAGGTGTTGGGCCGCAACTGCGCCGGCAACGCTTGCGACAGCGCCGGGCTGCTGGTGACAGTACCATGCCTCGCCACCACCCACAACTCGTGCAACAACTTGTTGCAACATTTAGTCAGTAGCTCTAGTTATTATACGTTAATGTCCTCTAACAATACCAGCAGCTTGTAATTTTTGTAATTGAATAAGTGAAATAGTAAAGGGAAAGCAGTAGTTGTCCGTGACGGTGAAACTACCTATTGAAATCGCATAATATCATTGTACCAATCATTTAAATGTCTTAACTACATGAAATATGATTGTACTGAACAATATAAAACATTCTAATGTAACTTTTAAATGCACAAACTGTTATTACGCCAAACCATGAAATTCATAAAACGTGCTTAAGATTTAGGAATGGCATCATTTTAACAGTAATGTCGATTAATAAAATTAAAAAAATTTAGGTATTTAAAAAATAATATAATTTATCACCTGTCTTACACATTCGGTAAAAACTGTAATTCATGAGAGTTATCTGTTAACTTTCAGCACAAGCTTTGAAAAGTAAAGTATTAGGCAAAAAATAAAGGTAAAAGTGTAACATCAGAACACATATATTTGTTTTTGTGTAGGTCACTACTTTACATAAGTCCATAGTATATAGCCACTTGTGTACCTAAATATTAGTGTCCGACCGAAACAGGTTTTTCAGCCGAAACCAAAACCGAACTTTCGGCTCTTGTTTTAGTTTAGTTTAGAAACAGAAACAGACATTCGTTTGTATTCTGGAATCATTTTTAGCCATATACCTGTTTATACTACTCTTAATGATATAAATTTCAACATAAATACTTCAGTGATCATTTTTGCTGGTAACAGGGGAAATGTAAACAAAAACAAACTCATAGGGTATTTTTAATCATTAGTATGAATCATTAGATGTAAGCAAAATTGTGCTGTTAACAATTGCCTTAGTAAAGGGTTGTCACAGGAGAAACAAAATATTAGACATAATCTAAATGCACAATTTATCTTGCCAAATAAATGAATCCTTTTAGAATAAATTACATTTAATTGACACTAACAAGCTTGTTAGTAATAATATTTCAGTGACAAAAGGTAGACCTTTCCAATTATTATAAGAGACAGATCACAGTTTCGCTATCATATCATTTTTCAATTACAGCCAAGATCTTGGCTAAAACTATTGCTTCTATGGAGCAAATTGACATTACCCATAACGACTTTGCCAATACATTGGCAGATAATTCTTTTGACATTTACATAAATTTAAATGGCATATCAAATAATTTATTTAATAATGTGATTGACATTACAAATAATTTAAATTTATTGATAGGACAATAGAGTCTACCTCTTGCAATATTAACTTGAATACTTGTACAAAATTAAAATAAAAATCAAAATCAAAAATTATCAATAATGTACTATGATTAGTACATTAATTAGAAATAATAAAATAAATAATATAATTTTGGTGCATCAAAATATTAGAGGAATGATGGGCAGAGACTTGGAGGTGGAATTGTTCATGAACTGCAATGTGATTATATATTTTTTGTATTACTGAACATTAGCTTAAACAGGATCAGTTCATGTTCAATTTTGATCACCACCAGGTAAGCAGTTCGTTCAGCAGAGGTATAGCAATACATGGTGGCACTATGATACTCATAAATAAGAAACATAAGTTTAAAGAGCCCCATGACATTGTTAGTCTATCAGTTGAGCGAACTACAGAAATAGCCTGTATAGAATTAAAAGGTTTCATAGTAGTAGGTATGTGTTTGCCGATCCCCTTCAGCTACGTACGATTGTTTTGAATGTGTTATAGATGAACTCTTAGTTAAAGTAACAAAATCAACAAAGAAGGTCATCATTTGTGGTGAATTCAATATTAACCTATTAGAAAAATTGTAACAAAGATTAAAGCCCTATTTCAATCATACAATCTGAAGAAGTTGTTTTTGGAGCCTACACGAATCACTGCGACCACTGCCACATGTTTGGACAATATATTTACAGACATTAAAATTAAGGATAAGAAAATAATCAATCAATTACACTCTGACCACTGTGGTCAATTATTAACTTCTGTGATAAATATGAAAAGGTGTCAGAAAAAAGGGTTGTGGTGCAAAACGTTGTGAAAACTTTAAAAATAAACTCAAAGCTGCTTTCAATATTTCAGTACTCTGCGTAGACAATAACCCTAACACTTATTATAATAGCTTTTTTTAAACTTTTCTTCAACATTTAACACAATTTTTACACCAACAACCCTAGTAGTTAAAGGTAACGCCACATTTAGTGAATCGGCTACCACTGGCTTACTCAAAAGTAGGAAAAGATTGTATGAGCTATATGATGAGAAAAATTATAATAAAAGTGACTGGTTTATAATTATGTTAAAGAATATCCGAAGCTGTTTAGGAAACTTTGTAAATTGGTTAAGTCCTAGTAATAATAAGATTAAAACTACTTGGAAAATTATCAACAATGAAACTGGAAAAAACCAATACTGTGTAATCTAAGTGTAATCTAAATGTGAACAATAAATTCATTACATCAAATGTTGAGGCTGCTGCCGCATTTGAGAACTTTATTACCAATATTCCTGTATCAACTACTAAGTCTTTGAACTCATCACCATGCCTTGCAGAATCATTTTTAAAAGATAATGTTGGTAGGATTAAAAGTGAATTTAAGTTCCAATATGTTTAACCCCTTGAAATCGTTAAAGCCTTTAACACTACTTATTACTGTTAACAAAACAACTGACCTATGGGGAAATTCTGTATTAATTACAAAGACAGTTATATGTCTTGTGGCTAATCAATTGTTATTTACATTAAATCAATCTTTTGATAGTGGTGCATTTCCTGATCTTATGAAGTCCAGTAGAATTATTCCCTTCTTCAAATGTACATCTGACCCAACTAACTTTAGGCCTATTTCAGTACTACCATGCAGTATTTCGCAAAAATTTACAAAAATAATCTATGATCAATTACAAATTTATTTTAATAATTAAATTTATTAGTATACAATATGCAATTAATACGAACGGTTTAATAATAATAATTTATTACACAATAGACAATTTGGTTTTACTAGGGGTCGCTCCACAACTGATGCTATTGCTGAGTTTATAAAAAATATATTTGATGTCTGGGAGGATTCCCACTGTTCTCTAGGTATCTTTTGCAATTTAACTAAAGCTTTTGATTGTGTTGTTAATGAAACGCTGGTAAGGAAATTACAGCACTATGGTATCAAAACTAAAGCACTGGAACTTCTTGCTTCATATTTAACTAATAGGATTCTAAAATTTAAAATTAATGATGTACGATCTCCGGGTTCTGTGGTAGAAATGGGCGTTCCACAAGGTTCTATACTCGGCCCATTTTTTTTTTAGTATATAGTAACGACCCACCTCACCTTCAGGATAATCACGAGATTGTTTTGTTTGCAGATGATACATCACTCTTAATTAGATTCAAACGCACACTTACTAATTTCACAGACGTAAACAGCGCCATTTCGAAAGTGTTTCATTGGTTTGACGTTAACAATTTGCTTTTGAATGAAAAAAACTAAGTGTAAACAGTTCACCACGCCAAACGTCAAGCCAGTTAAAACCACTGTGAAAATCAAAGATGTCAAGATAAACCTTATGGATACAACGACATTTTTAGGAATAACATTAGATTCTAAGCTATAGTGGGGCCCCACATATAGATAAATTATCGAGTAGACTCAGCTCAGCAGCGTACGCAGTTAGAAAAATTCGAGAATTGACTGATATTGATACAGTACAACTTGTTTATTTCAGTTATTTTCATAGCATAATGTCGTATGATATTCTACTGTGGGGGAATACTGCCGACATTCAAACTATATTTGTGCTGCAAAAGAGAGCGATTCGAGCAATTTATAATTTAGGCAATCGTAGTTCATTGAGGCAAAAATTTAGTGAAATAAACATAATGACAGTGGCAAGTCAATATATTTATGTGAAAATGTTGATATTTTTAATGTTAGTCTAACGGGAGCGAGGAGGTGTTTAAGCCTTAAATTCTTCAGGGGTGATGGTGGGGGGTCTGAGTAGTTATTGTTATGGGTCCTGTCGGTTTTGTGTGCATATTATTACGTTCTGTGTAATTTGTAAGCGATCTGTGCCTGTAACTTATATCTCTTGATCCTATTCTGTATTGTCTTATGCACTGTAACTTATCTCTGATTTATATAAGTGAGGATTTGTTATTGGCTATCTGTTTTCTTGACTGTTTTTATTGTGATCATCATAGCTGTAAATCCTCCATAGTTGTAATAAATAAATAAATAAATAAAAACAAAGATAGCTTCTTGAAAATAAGTGATGTACATGCTTTTAATACCAGAAATAGAAAAAAAAATCTTGTACCTGCCTCTAGGCTCCAAAAGAAAACAAGTCATTTCGAGATCAATGTGTCAGACTCTATAATAAAATCCCAAATAGTAAACAAAATTTTAGTATAAACAAATTTAAATCTACAATAAAACGTGGACTGTGTCAGAAGGCATATTACTCAGTTGTGGATTACATAGGTGACAAGAATGCTTGAAATTAACTTAGCACAGGCTTTTTCGTAGTGGAAATGTAATGTGAGCTCGTATATCTTTTAAGACTATACGCGTTTTCTCATACTTAAAGTTAAG